ACACCCACACCCACACCCACACCCACACCCACACCCACACCCACACCCACACCCACACCCACACCCACACCCACACCCACACCCACACCCACACCCACACCCACACCCACACCCACACCCTCTATTTACAATAGCTGATATGAAAAAAATCACTCGACGAAATCGGAAACTCAGGGATGGTGTGGGTGTGGGCGTGGAGTATGGATGTGGGGTGTAAGTATGGAGTATAGGTGTGAATCTTTCTTCTTTGACACCCACACCACCTACCCAAATCCACACTCCCACACCCTAAGAACAATGTTCGGATGTCTAGACAAAAAAATTACTTACCAGTTTCCCCGAAAAAATTTCATTTGAAAAAAACCTAACTACTCACGCGTGTAAAATATCGAAGAACAACCAAAAGTGTACTTCATTGTTTCACATGATTTAGACTTCGTAAATAACACGTTGTCGACACTAAATCACTCAATTTCCGTTTGCGATGTATCGCAATACGAATACTTCTCACATGTTCGGCAAAAGTAATATCTTTTTCTTCGTAAACGAACTATTTTATAAAATTTAACTTCTCAGCAGTATTTACTTCTGAAATATTTCACGAAGATCCATTATAGGCAGATTCTAATGCGTCTCTCTGATTGATGAAGAAAGACGTTTTTCTTGTATGTTTCTTAATCACGATGTAACACATAGTATGAAAGGACTCTATTTGTTTTTTTTTCACTATCGAAACCTTAGAGATGGATGGCATTGATAAACTTTTGAGTACTGGCCTGTCTTGAAATGTGATTCATCTCTCTGCTAAATCCATCCTTTAGAATAGAATACCATATAGATCCTTGATAACAAGAGATAATTCTTGTATTCTTTTTACGTTCCTTAACTCGCTAAAACAAATGATTTTCGATATCTAAATGCATTCATTATTTTTCTGATTAGTGTGTTGAGTACGTTCAAATATTTACATTCGTCTAGTATGTTTGCTGAATTTATTAAAAAACGTCAATATAGAAAAAAACCATTTACATTCGGTTATTTATTCTATTCGTCAACGAAACGAAACGTTATGCATTTTTCTCTTCTCCTTTCATCTTCGATACGTGAGAGCATCGTTGAGGGCGTTTATCTTTCTGCGTGGATTGATTCATTAACATGTGAGTATTGCATTACTCAGTAAACAACAGAGAAAAAAAGCTTATTTTCATGTTGATAAGGGAGGGATCTAAAGTCATTTTTCATTTTGATGGTGAAATTATCTTTTTGTCTATATAAAAAAGTTGTGCAATGTATGGTGTTCGATAGTCGTAGTTTCTGTATTGAATTCTCATTTGTCACAACTCAGCACGTGGAATGGGTTTTTCAACAACAATAGCAAGAGATCCTGTCAACAAAGTAATTGGTGACTCTAGTTTAAAAGGCAAATTTGACCGAAATCCCACTGATATCGACGAACAATCGCGAATTCGTATTCACTTGAAATATGTCGAAAATTTCATTCGTAATCAGTCATCATTATCATTGATGAAATGCAATGCATTAGATTATCTCAATGAGTATTGGACGCAGGGTCAATTTCCAGCACATAATCGGTATCAACAAGAAGGAAGACAACAACAACGTTCACCACGTTTTATTGATCATAATGGTGTGCATTGTGCTGTTGGTTATATGATATTGAAATCACCTGGCTTCGAACATTTACCAAATCAAATCAATACATACTATGAATATTCCTTCATTGATGAAATCGGTAACAGTAATAATAGTGATTTGACGAAATGGATGAATATGTATGAATTCAATCTGAACGAATTAGCGATGATTCAACCAACTTATGAACACATGCGTAGACCACAAAAGAAAGTATGGCAAGTGCCACAGCTACAGCCACCTACGCCTATGGCCTCGGAAATGCCTCAAGCTTCTGAAATTCCTCCAAAAGTCCCCGAAATGTCTCGTGTGCGTGCTTTCTTCCGCCGTTGCTTCGATTTTTTTTCTTAAATAAGGTCTTTTAATCTTTCCTTTCATTGTGGCAAGTCAATACAATAATAATAATAATAACAATAATAATAAAATTTTTTGCCTTTTTAATAATAAATGAATGGTATATATATATTTTTTAATTTTCTATTTTTAATTTTGTAATTTTTATTATAAATAAATAAATAAATAAATAAAGATAGGATAAGTAAGCGAGAAAAACAACACATAAGAGAAGGAAAAAAACACAAAAGAAGAAACAAAATACATGAATAATTACGCTAGGCCTTTTGAATGACTTTCTTTATCAAGCGATAAGAAATATTTCAATTTAACTAGGTGTCAACAACAAGTTCAATTGTATGATAGTGTTGTTTCTGCTGTGTATTTGATGAACATTCATTATATAATGTATTTTTATACATTTTAATGCATTTTTTCATGAATTATTGATGCATTTCTTATGATTATTTATATTTTTAGGTATTTTCAATCGTAATTCTTCAGGTATCTTCATGGGCTTTCACTGATATCTAATAATGCATTTTAATGCATTAGAAATTTTTCCATGGATTTTTAATGATATCCAGTAAGGGTGTGAGTGTGGGCTGGTGTGGGTGTCGGTGTGGGTGTGGGTGTGGGTATGGGTGTATATATTTGTGTATGAACTAATGCCCATACCCACATCCGCGCCCACATCCACACCGACGCCCACACCCTCGAGACTTCTCTCAAGTTGGTCTTTGCAGTTTCAATGGATGTTCTGACAGACAACCAACGGAATAGGTGTACATGTTTGTTCAAGGGCGAAAAAGCTGATTGCAATCAAACGAATCATCTAGAATCGTTGACAATCATTGACAATCATCCGCAATCATTTACGATCTTTCATAATCATTGGGAATCTTGCACAATCGTTGACATTCCTGAGTTTTAGTGCTGAAGTGAGAAACGTTTTCGTAGAATAATGAAGAGTCAATATGTTTTTTATTGTAGTATACTTCGCTAAGGCCTTGTCTACACTAGAAAATAAGTAAGGTTTTAACTTCGAATTAAATTTACATGGATTCGCACTTATGAATTCAATTCATCAATCACAATTGAGAAATATTAACTACTGTAGTGTAGTCATTGTGCATAATTCTAGCACGCGTAAGCAAGAAAAATGTGTCACATCTATCTCTCTTTGAAAATGATTGATCTTCATATTGAAAATCTCCATATATTAATGATCAAAAGTGACTTCATCAGAATATCTTCATTATTTAACTCAAGAATCAAGCTCTTTGGTGATTGATGCACTAAATTTAATTCGTGTGTGGAAAGTGTATAAAATCTGAATTAGTTTTTCGACCAACCAGGATGTAGGCGTGGGTGTAAGTATTTGTTCATGCACAAATATCTAAACCCACACCCACTCACACTCACACCCTACATCCAGCTACCGAAGAATCCTAAGAGTCAGCTCAAAAGACATGATCAGAAACGAGAGCATAAGAAAACGAATATCGAGACAGGAAACCATAATAAATACAATAAAGAAACGAGAGTTAAGACTATTCAGCTGAATCTGCAGAATGAGCGATAACAGACTGGTAAAGCATGTAATGTTCGGAATAATAGATGGAAAATCCCAAAGAGGACGTCCATGTAGAGAATGGCTGGACGACATCAAAGACTGGTGTGGACGCAGTCGACAAGCCCTATGCCACCTAGCGTAAGACCGACAGATATGGAAGAAACTAATCCGTACAATGGTTAGCCCCGACGGACGATAAGCCTGAGGAACATCATGATGAATGTGTTTACGAAATCAACGAAACACACACGAGTTTGTTTTGAATATGAGGACAGGTGTGTATTTCGAATACAAATGTCAGTCTAATGTTTTTTTGTTGCACTATCATCATATTTTATCCTGAATAAATGTCAACAAATAATCAATATTTGATGAAAGAATATGTAGGATGTTATTGAAATTTGTGCAAATGTATGTTCATTTGACTGAAATCAATGTATAACTGCATAAATATAACTTTTTCATTCTCTCATGGACTTAAAAGAATGGGCAACTAAACTCTTTATTAATGTAGAACATTCACGGTCATTCGACTCATGAAAGAACGACTGTGAACTTGTGTCCAATGATCCACAACACTGAATATATTAAATGCGATACCTTGTATGGGATAACAAAACAGTGACATTGATGGTTCCAACTTACTTATTTCTTGATAGTCATATCATGGTAGACCAGAAATATGATAAATGATCTACTTCGATCGATCAAATGTAAGAGTTTGCTACCATAACACAATGCATTACACTATATCGTGAGCTGCTAAAGAATTTAATTTAACAGCTATCTTCTTGTATAGGCTTAAACCATTTTCAATGATGTTTGTGCAATATAAGTATATGATAATAGATGTTTTTAAATGATTTTTTGTCTCCATTCTTTACATGAATGGTTTTTTGAATCAAACTCGAGCATAACTATTGTCTTTGGATGATAAGTGACATTCATTTAATTTCAAAGGAACTAATGCCACTTCTATGCGTGAACACTACTTCAAGGCGTAAAATATTACTGCTCGTATCGCATATAAACATGATTTCAAGGATCATCATGAGCTTCATACAAAACAATAAACCTAAAAATGTGTTCTTACGATTTTATCATCCAAGTATTTGTTTGCCGAACACAGCGTGTTTCATATATCATGACATTTGCTTGCAAAAGCATAAAACGGAGAAGCACTTTCGCATTACACATGCAATCATCGCAAACAACAGCACATGGGTGAAGCTCTATTTTCTTCTTACCGTTTCATACTGCTTACGTTGCTTTATTTCACTGCGAAAGTGTCATCTACTAGCAATGAAGGTTGGTATTCATCTTATGAAGAAATAGATGTGATAGACATGAGAAGACATAATCAATTCATTCAAAAGTAATGAGACTCGAACATATTTATTCCATAAACAAAAATCTATATGTTCACTAAAAGAAAGTTTAATTTTAAAGCGCACAACTAGTAACTGTTACTTTAACATTCTTATATTGTTCTATTTTTACACTAAAAAGTACTTGGAGCTAAAAAAATCACACATGATCATAATCAAGAACCTCATACTAGTAATCCGCCATATTTTATTTAGATGATCCCCATTGGAATGGAACATGGTATGGCTCGTTAACAAATTTTCCAACCAATATTAACTTCACTAATGTCAGTGTCTTGACTGAACTAGGACCTTATCCAATGGCATTCAATACTTGTTCAGTGTGGCGGAACACGTACTTTCAGGATGGAGAAACCTTAACAGTAAA